TCAGGGGAAGGCAAGGGTAAACCTCCTCTGAACAAATCTTGCCAAGAAAATTAGGGTCACCATGAGTTGGAAACAACTTGAAGGCACACAACAACAACAACAACAACAACAACATATAGTCTAAAGTACCATGTAGAAAAGGAAACCCATGGTTAACTTCATCAGTCTGGAAGCCACACGCCACCATCACCATTACCCCACAAGACCTGGGGGTGCACGTCTTACATATACTACACCGCTTATCAGTGCACTTCAGCAATCCCTAAGCAGTTTGCAATGTGTAAGCTAATTGCCCCCAACAATCTGGGTACTCATTTTAGTGACCTCGGAAGGCTTTTTGAGTCGAGCCTGAGCCCCATGGCTGGTATTGAACTTGCAACCTTATGGTTTGTGAGTGAGTGCCTGCAGTACAGGCATTTAATCACTGTGCCACCAGGGTTCTTCAAATATGTTTTTAATTTCAGTTAACATTCCCCTCCCAAATGACCTTACATAATGCAAGCACAATTTTTATGGGGACTCACTGACTGTTTCAGAGCTAGGATGAAGTGAGTTTTAAAAGAAGCTTGAGATGGGAAAAATCCTGATGAAATTTCTCCCCTCCACAGCCCCTAGAAAGTATAGGAGTTTTTAGTTTTAGGGTTTTTTAAAGAGAGAAAATAATAAATTGTGTCGAGGAGAGAGGAGCACAGTGCATCTGAAGAAGTGAATAGGTGCCTTGAAAGTTCATGCTAAAATAAATCAGTCTCAGAGCTGCCCATTGGTTCTTTCATCCCCTCTTCCTCTTCCATTTTATGGGGATTAAACACAGCTCACAAACCACAGTTTTGCCCACTCCTGCACTAGAAGAAGGAAAGATCCCCTCTCTGAGCTTGTGCCCCCACATACAATGTTTTTTTAAAAAGCCATATTAAGAACAATTACGGTAATTTTTGTTTGTTTTTTAAAAAAATCTGCTGATCATTTAATCAGGTCTTTTATATCTCTTAATAAAGATAACAAATCAGACAACTACACATAGTAGGAATGTGGATGGGTGAGAATATCACACTGCAATAATTTGAATTCTGAGCACCATCACCCAAAGTCGAAACCTATCAAACTTCAGATATATATATTTAATTCTTTCTCTGAAAAAGAAAAACAAGATGAACAACAGCATTGCTGGATTTATCTAATTCAATATTCTGTCTCCACCAGTAGCCCACCAGATGCCCCTGGGAAGCTAAACATAGGGAATTATTACTGCTAAATATAATTATTAAGCTGACCTTGCACGTAATACAGCAATATCTGAAGAATATGCTGAGCTGTCATGGACATCAAAATGAGCTACTCATAAATGTGGTCTCCCTACTATCAGCCTTGGAAACTGATCAAGACCAGAACAATGCAGAAATAAGGCTGGAGAAGGCTAATGACCAAGCCTGAATTTAGGGCATATTCTCTTTGCCTAGACAAGTAGTTCAACATTCCCTAGACATCTGCTATTCAATTATACAGGTTAGGAGCAACTTTCAGGAATCTCTCATCACTTTTTTTAAGATATGCCTAAGGCAATTCATTTTGATAATCATTCTTATATTATACATTAATGGTATGTGAATATCTGGGTGTTGTTGTTTTTTGCTATGTACTACTTGAATGTAATTTTTCTTATTAAGTAACATACCGATCTGTAAAATAAACAAATGGTTTAAGGCAAAGTGCATGTGCACCCAGGAGAAGTCATCCATTGATAAAAAATTAAACTGAATGAGCCATTCCTAAGAGTTGTCAACTTGGCCGACAGTTGTAGCCCTGTCCTTGCCCCTTCCTCTCTAACCAAACCTTAAGGACAGGCAATGGGGATAGATATATTAAGGGCCTAAATACCCTAAAGGCATCAGATCTAAGTGGAGGCTAAGAAGGGTAGGTACTAAGTACTTAGATGGAATATTCGCCAATGAATATCAGGTGCTGTAGACTACATTTCAGAGGAAGGAACTAAAGAAAAACAACACCTGTGAGTATTCCTTACTTAAGAAAACCCTATGGAATTCATAGTCCATCAGAAGTCAACAGATGACCTAAAGGCATGCATGCACACACACACACACATGCACACACACTTTTGCATTAAATTTAAATGCAGCAATGTACTCAAATAAGAAGTTGCCTTAGTGTAGGTGGGAGGGGATCATGGTAAATTCAGCCTCACCATGGAAGGAGAATACCATAAACAACCCTAGCTTTATGTGCAAGTCATGAGAAATCTTAAGACTCTCACGTTCCACAAAGCATTCAGAATCAGGCACTGTCAGAGAAAACCCAAAGTCAAATAAACAGTGTTACTCAGCTACCAATGTTAGTTTAGCCAAGGGTATTATCTGTTCAGATCTCCAAGGACTTTATTTACATTAAAAACTTGTTGTAGCCTTTGGCTTTGTGCAAGGGGGGGAACAAATGTCATTTAAAAATCTATTCCTTTACTGTACATTCTCACACAGAATATGAACGAGAACAATTCATAGAGGATGTGTCAACTATTGATCAGTAAAGCCATGATATGTAATTGGAATGTCTATTCAGAATGGGATGGAAAAATATATTTGAAATTATTCAGTTCCTGTGGAAGTTCAGAAAGATTATTTTACCTGGTATTCACACATTAAGTGTTTCAGAAAATTATTCTTCACAGAAATGCAGACAGGTTCTTTGCACAAAAAATATGCATTTTCCTGCAAAACAAAACTTTTTGGAATTAAAAAAAACAAACATATTTTCTGTGCAAGACCATATGGTTGTTTTGTGCAAGATTGCTAGTTGGGTTTTGTGCCAACAAAACAAACAATGATAGTCATTTTTGGTGCTTTTTTGTTCCAAAGGCACCACCACACACAAAATATGTGGCTATCTGGAAATAAGTCCTTTTTGCACAAAATGTGGGGATTAAGTAAAAAATGTGGGGATTTGCCAAAATAAAATCCATTATTATTTTTTCATAAAGAACACCATGCATATTTCTATGAAGAATAATTTCCCTAAACATTCAGGATGTGTGAATGCCATGCAAGACCTATGAAAAATATTAGTTTTCTCCATGCCTGGGGTACCTGTAGAAATTATTCATCCTCATTTGTAAGGACAAAATTTACATCCCTAGTGCACCAGCAGAAGTGGGACTTGCAATAAACTATGGCAGTAAAGACTTCTCTTCCCCAGGATAATTAATTCAATTCTGCTTTCCTCCTGGCTTTCTGATTTCTTTCTTCTTTTTTTCCTTCTTCCCAACAGTCACTCATGTTGCCACTAAATATTACAGCCAGCATGGTGTTGTGGTTTGAGCATTGGTCTACAATTCTGGAGACCAGGGTTCAAATCCCTGTTTGGTCATGGAAACCCATTGGGTGATCTTGGACAAGTCAGAGGACTTTATCACACAGGAGGCTTACTGTCAGTAATCAGCATTAAATCGTCCAAAATCATCCAATAAACGTGCGATCGGGATTCACACCTCCATGCACTTTTCCTGTCAGTAAAGCATCATGGAGGCATCCCTGCTTGCTTGTTCCATCAGTAAAGCGTACATGGAGCCACCATTTGGCAATAATGGGAACTTCTGTTATTGCCAAATGGTGGCTCCATGTATGCTTTACTGATGGGACAAGCGAGCAGGGGTGCCTACATGACACTTTGTTGGAATATGGATGGGATATACAGTCAAAGTGGAAATGGAGAGATGTGTGTGTTAAAATTTCCTATGGGAACAGTGTCTGCTGAAAACAAAGAGGACTCAGCCAGCAGGTGGTTAGAAGTCAAAACATGGGCTCACAGGGCAGAATAATAAAAACACTTTTGAGCCTGGGAACAAATAGTTAACACATAAACGTATGAGCTCATTGTAAGGAAGTCACAGGGGGGGATGACATACAGCTAGAGGCTGGGTTAAAGCACATAATCCAATCATTATATGGTTAACACCCAGAAGGTGGAGTATGGGAAGGGCCAAGAGTTTTCTTTGTTCTCCTTGTTTATATATGCATGCAATGTATTCGTTTGTAACAACTACCAACTACAACTACCACACCTACACCTGGATCTGTAAACATGGATCTGTAATTTTTTCTATTGCTGTATTTCTATAACATCATCTGCAAGATGTGATCCTTTAGTGTTTTGCCATCAGCAGGATGGATTGTATATTTTCTTGTTTTCTTTATGGAACAATAAAGCTTTACTTTAAATCTACAAAATGTGTCTTCATACAAGTAGCATGGAAGAAGCTGGTGAAGGAAGCTGGTTCCTGAGCTCTATTGCATTTCACATCACATCCAAATTCCACAGTGTGTACCCCAATCACACATTTTGGATGATTTTGGACAATTTAATACCGATCCTCAGAGAAAGGCAAAAGCAAACCTCCTCTGAACAAATCTTGCCAAGAATACCCAATGATAGGATCTGCTTTAGGGTTGCCATAAGTTGGAAATGACTAGAAGGAGCACAACAACATTTAAACTGAATACTTGTGTGAGAAACTAGGGTTGCTTTTTTGTGTTTCCTGTTCACTTAGGGGGGAAGCAGATGGGCGGCCATGGGCCGCCCTGGGAAGCTGCGCCGCAGGGCCGAGGTATCCCCA